TCATAATACTAACTGTATTTATTATTTATTTGTACTTTACTACGGTTACTAACTTTTTATATTTACTCTTTACTATTTATTAAATATTACTAACTTTATCAGTTATATACTAACATCTGTTTTTAAAAAAGATTATGAATGGTTTTTATTTTAAATATTAATTATTTATGTTTATTTACACTACTTATTAATATAAATAAATAAAGACACTATGTATTTTATTATTTGTAGAGTTTATAATTTTAATAAATATTATTATGTGCTGTAATAAATTTTATTATTGGTTATATGATTACTACTAGAAAATTTTACCAATTGGTTATTTGACCATAAATTGACCTATAAATTGACCATAAATTGACCATAAAATTGACCATAAAATTGACCATAAATTGACCATAAATTGACCATAAATTAACCATAAATTAACCATTAATTGACCATTAATTTACCATTGATTGACTATAAATTGACCATCGATTGACCATAAAATTAACTATCATTCATTACCAATCGGTCACCAATCGGTCACCAATCTGTCACCAATCTGTTACCAATCGGTTACCAATCTGTCATAAATCTGTCACCTATCTGTCAACAATCAGGCAGCCTGATAGGTGACTGATTGGTGTCAGATTTTGGCGGAAATCAGGCATCAATCAGGCATCAATCAGGCACCCGATTGGTGACTGATTGGTAACTGATTTGACACTTTTCGACCTGTGAAATTTCGTTACCCTTTACGAATAATTTATAAATATTATTCCATTCATTATTATTCCAAAAGTATCGATTTATAAAATTTTCATTTAATGAATAAATCTCAATTGCTTTCATAGTAATTAGTACCAAATCCTGGTTTTTTAATAGTTTATATGAGAGTACATGAGAAAATTTTAAAGACTTTTCACAGATATCATTTCGTTCAAGAGAAATCTCATCATAAGTATCATTAGGACGAAGAACAAATTCATGAAGATCAGAATCTTCAACTTTAACCTTATCTTTTAATATAATCTTTTTTTCATTAGGTAATGCAGCCTTTCTAATGTCCGTTTGTTTAATGATTTCTTCAAACATACTTCGTATAATTTTAAAAGTAGAAGTATAAATACTATTTCCATCTGTGATCTTGTTTGATAATTCTTTCAATTTACTTTCATCCAATCCATTTGTGACACGAACATTACCATTATCAATGAAAATTTTTCTGTTTAATTTATCACATTCATATCATTAAAATCACTGGATGTATCAATATCAATTTCACCATAAGTTTGATAAGGATCTACAAGTTTAAGACTACTTGGTCTACAATCAATGACTAATCTTTCAGAATTATTTTTTAAAGTTATGAATTCGACTGGGCGATTATCACAACCATCTGCGAATAAATTATAATTAAAAAATAAGATATATTGTATGTATTGTAAAAGTAATACTCACAATTTTCGTTTAAAATCAACATTCCATCTTCCATTGTAAATATGCAAGAATAATATGCTAATAACATTTGATTTTTATTCATTACTGGCATACTTTGAGGAGAATATACACATGTAATGTATTGTCTTTCCAAATTCATTTCCAATAAATCAAATTGAAGTATTAATGTTTCACAACCATCAAAAATTATAAATAACTTCGTTTGATATGTAAAACTCTCAAAATCAAACTCATCTTGATCAAAACTTTTGGGAATTTCTATTTTATTAATTTGAGAACATTCCCAAGGATCTGTATTTTTTAGTTTGTCTGTGAAACAGCACTTGTAAATTTTGCGATCGTCTGTTGATACATTAATTAAATCACCATTAGGAAGGAATCCAATAGCATCACATTCACAAGAAATGGGATACTCTAATTTAAGAAATCGGTCACTACTACTAGTACGATCACTATTTAAATCAATCAACCCGTTAATTACGATTAGATTATTAATTAAACATAAAATTGAATTACTATTGTTTTGAGTCAAAATAGATACCTACAATAATCATGATATTTACTTAATACCAAGATTTTTTTACTTAGTATATGTGTTTTATAGTTGTCAATTTGTTCAACCTTAAAATAAACATCGTGCTGTTGTAGTCCATTCTCTTTAATTGGCCATCCAAGAAATGATTTATCTTCACGACTATAAGTAACAACATAATTATCTGAACCATAATTATCTGAACCATATCCTTCATCATCACAGGTCGAAGGGGCGCCATTGTCCAAAATTCAAAAAATGCAAATTCCCCATTTTCCTGGAAAATGGTGGGAAATTGTGGAAAATGCTGCATTACACTGAGCAATTTTTTGGAATAGCATTGTTACAACATTGTCCGATTTAGCAAATCTTATGAAATTTTGGGAAAATGCTACATTATATCTCAAATGTAACATTTTTGTAACATTTCGTAACATTGTTATAACATTGTCATTAAAATCAAATTTTGCTTTTTTTTTGTCAAATGTTCCAATTTTCTTGCAAATGGTGCATTTTTATGAAAAT